AGCCTGGTCTACAGAGTGAGGTATAGGACAGCCAGGGCTACACAGAGAAACCCTGTCTCAACAAACAAACAAACAAACAAACAAACAAACAAAACCAAGGAAACTGCAGCCATTGACGGGGACCTACAATACGTGTGTGTGTGTGTGTGTGTGTGTGTGTGTGTGTGTGTGTCCTGAAGGAGAGGGACTGTAATCTCTTTCACTGATGGGAGCAGTTGCTCGGGGACATGACATGTCTGTCCCCAGGACATCCGCTGGGAAGTGGCAGACACGGGACAGCAACCACGTCTGAGGTGCCTTGCCCTCCAGGCTTGACATCCTGGTTTGCCCACAGGTAAGGCCAGATTTGCCCCCACAGTCAGCATGCCCACCAGTTTCAGGGGACAGAGTGTGGGTGGCAGCTGGGACACAGAACAAGAACCTGGGGACAGTGCCAGCAGAAGCGGTAAGGGAGACCTGAAGTAGAAAGAGAAATGGGACTTTCTATTTCAGTCTGAGAGGCCCTGAGACAAAGAGGTTCCTTAAAGATTTATAAGCCTCACCGTAACTAACTAGTACCCTTCCCATTGATGTCCTTAGTCTTACTTTTTTTTTTTTTGAGATAGGGTTTTTCTGTGTAGCCTTGGCTGTCCTGGACTGACTTTGTAGACCAGGCTGGCCTCGAACTCACAGTGATCTGCCTGTCTCTGCCTCCCAGAGTTCTGGGATCACAGGTGTAAGGTACTGCGCCCTGCTTCAATGTCCTCACCTTAACTAGTATCCTTCCCAGTGAGGCCCTCAGCTGACTAGTACCCTTCTCAATGGTGCTGGCTTCCCTGGGCAGAGTCACACAGCACCTGGTGAAATCTGCCCCAGACTTGGGGAGCTCATTACTGTCTGGCTGCTGAAGAAGTAGCAGATAGTTTCACTGGGAGAGAAGTTTCTCATGGGCTCTGGGTGGCTGATGGGTGTTCCTCGGCTGGACTATCCCTTCAGGACACCGGTGACAGTGGTCCTCGTGGATCATAAGGGCCTTGATTCATGTGTCCTTCATCCTGCCGTGTCACTCTGAGTTTTTTTGAAGCAATGGCAACACGGTTTGGACCCGGCCCTGAGAAGGAGGATGCTGGATGGAGCAATTAGCAGGGCACGCTCGTGCAATCACTGGAAGCAAGTCAAGTGTTTGGCAATAGGGATCGGATGGGAATGCTGCCTCACCCTATGGCTGCTGCCTCAGTGACAGTGAAGCCGCACAACAGCCAGGCATGGCTGCACACACCTCTCATGCCAGCTCTCAGAAGGTGGAGGCAGGAGGATCTCCCTGAGCTGTGGGCCAGGCTGTTGTACAAGGGAGTTCTAGGCCATCCAGGGTTACATAGTGAGATCCTGTGTAAAACATACAAACAAACAAACAAACAAACAAACATAAAAACGCAAACACACACACACACACAGGCACAACTATGCGCCATCCAACAAAGAAATGGAAATGTGACCTCATTCTGTAATATAATATGAAGCTTGGGTATTGGGACGCTTTGATGTTAGAGATTGGACCCAAGGCCTCAGGCTGCTAACATAGGCTAAGGCCCAACTTGCCTGTGGAGACCAGAGGTTAAGATTATGTCTCTTTCTCAATTATTCTCCACCTTAATTTTTATTTATTATTTTATTTTATTTTATTTTTTAAAGACTTATTTATTATTCATACATTGTTCTGTCTGCATGTACACCTGCACGCCAGAAGAAGGCACCAGGTCTCACTCTGTATGGTCCTGAGCCGCCATTTGGTTGCTGGGAATTGGTTGCCGCCAATTGGCTGCTCGGGAGCTCTGAAAGAGCAGCCAGTGGTCTTAACCTCTGAGCCACCTCTCCGGCCCCACCTTAATCTTTATTATTTTTGTTGTTATTATTACTATTACTACTACGACTATTTTGAGTCAGGGCCTATGTAGCCCTGGCTGGCTTGGAACTCACAGAGATCCAGTATGTCTGGCTCCATCTTGTTTTTGGAGAGAGAGTCTCTTACTGAGCCTGGGGACTCATTCAGCAAGGCCGGCTGCCTGGTGAGAGCCAGCAATCCTCCTGCCTCTGCCTCCTTCCACATCAGGGTCAGGTGCGTGGGCGACCATGCCTAGCCTGTTACATGGGTGCCGGGGTCTGGACTCAGGCCCTTCGGGGTGCATTCTCCTGTGTGGCGGCTCTAGAGCAGCAGTCCTCAACCAGTGGGTAGTGACCCCTTCGGGGCTGTCAAACAACCCTTTCACAGGGGTCGCAGAACAGATCTGATATTTATAATTCGGTTCACGTTACATTATGATTCATAACAGTAGCAGAATCAGTTATGAAGAAGCAACAAAATAATTTTATGGTTGGGGTGGGGGTCACCACACCATGAGGAACTGTATTCAAGCGTTGCAATGCTAGGAGGGTTGAGAACCACTGATCTAGCCAATTACAGCATGCTCAGAAGGCACCCAGGCTGTGGAGTAGCATGGACCTACGTCCGAGAGTGTGTGTGCATACGTGTGCGTGTGCATGCGTGTGCGTGTGCATGCGTGCGCGTGTGCATGCGTGTGCGTACTGTGTATTACGACAGCATTGCCCCCAGTGATCAGATACCTCCATTGTATCTCTCTGGTGTGCCTAGCACCTGGTCCCAAATCCCAGGGGCTGTACCTGCATCCTCGCTGTCCTGTGGGTTGGGTTGTGTTTACTGAGTCCTCTGCAGAGGCGAGTCAGGTGAGGCTAAGACTCGTGGCATCACCTGTGGCCTAGGGCCTCAGGAAGTGAGGACTGGAACCCAGAGCAACCTCCTCCCGCTCCAAGCAGGGCCATGCGGTTCAGAGGAGGGCAGGAAAATCAAACGTGGACGCGGTTGTGTGCCCCCTGGTGGCCAAAAAGGGTAGTGCCCATGGTGTTTCCAAACCGGGTTCGAATTTCTCCCTGTGCTGACATTTCTAGTTTTGTGACTAAAAGTCACTCTACCCGCTTGAGCCTCAGTTGTCCCAGCCTGTTAAGGACCTGATGACTGAAAGTATTTTCAGTAAGGGATTAACAAATGATAGCACTGTCTGGAATTGGTGCCAGGGGAATACTTCTCTCTAGAGGGTAAGCAGGCAGCTCTATGCTTTCAGGTTAGCCTTTCATGTAGTCTTGTTTCTGTTTTTAGGTAGGGTCTCATATTCCCCCAAAATTTCCTTTAACTTAGTGTGTAGCCGAGGCTAATTTTGAACTCTAGATCCTTCTGCCTCCAACTCTAGAGTACTGGCTTTACAAGCATGAGCTACCATGCCCAGCAAGGGACCTTACATTGTTCTCTTCTTTAAAGATGGGTCTGGGTTGGGGAAAGGGCTCAGCAGATAAAAGCAATGGCTGCTCCAAAGGAACCAGGTTTGATACTCAGCACTCGCATGGTGGCTCACAACATCTGTAACTCTAGTTCCAAGAGAACTGACATTTTGGTGTGGGCCTGATGCCCAGACATACATGTGGGCAAATCATTCGTACCTATAAGTAAGTCTCAAGCTGGTGATCCTTCTGCCTCAGCCTGTGAGTGAAGGCTTGCGGGCGTGTGTTTCTTTAAGTGTATCCTGCAGGAAGCACCTTTCTCGTCCTGTGAAACAGTCTAGAAACACATGCACCAGAGTAGGGGTAGAGGAACATATCGAGTTCTTTTTTGGTATGGGGACAAAGGTCTCACAGTGCCGTTCAGGCTGGTCTGGAACTCTTGGCAATTCTCCTGCCCCAGCCCTCCTGAGAGCTAGAATTATGGATGTCATAATTATAGAATTATGGATATCACTTTGTTCAGGTGAACTTAAGGAATGTATCACTGGTCAGAAGCACAGGTGGCCAGTGGCGTGTCATGGTCATGCACACCTAAGCCCTTGGCGTCTGGTGTCTGGTGCTTGCTACAGGTTGAGGATCTGAATGGTGACCTGCCAATCGCCACCTTCTTTTGTGTTATTTTTCAGTCAGGATCTCACTTTTTAGCCCAGGTGGGTCTTAAAATCTTTGAGAGTATGGGTATAGGTACTCTAACACCCAGTTTTAAGAAACCATTTATTTCCCCAGCACTCAGGAGGCAGAGGCAGGCAGATCTCTGTGAGTTTGAGGCCAGCCCGGTCTACAAAGTGAGTCCAGGACAGCCAAGGCTACAAAGAGAAACCCTGTTTCAATGCCCCCCCCCATTATTTATTTTGTCATAGAGTCTCATACAGTGACCCAGGCTAGCCTGGAATTAACTCTGTAGCTCAGGCTATCCTGGGTGACATATTGAGACTGTTTCATTAATGAACAGATAAGTAGGAAAAAGAAATTGTGGGCTAGGAGATGGCTCGGCAGTAAAGAGCACTTGATGCTTTTGCAGAGGACTTGAGTTCAAGTCCCAGCACAAATATCAGCCAGTTCACAACAGAGATTATAACACTCTTTTCTGGCCTCCACCTGCGTCCACATTCTCAAATACACACAGATAAATTATTAAAAATAAAGGAAATCAAGATCGGAGAGATGGCTCAGTTGTTGAGAACACTTTTTATTCTTACAGAGGACCTGGGTTCAGTTCCCAGAGCCCACATGGTGGCTCCATATGATCATAATGCTAGTTCCAAGGGATCCAATGGTTTCTTCTAATCTTTGAGGGTAACGGGCACTCACAAACTGCACATACATACATGCAGACACAACACTCATAGACATAAAAGAAAAGAAATAAATCTAAAAATAGAAAAAATTAAAAGAAGATGTGGAAGGGAAAAAGGAACAATTAAAAAGAAAAGAAGAGAAGAGGGGAGGGGAGGGGAGGGGAGGAGAGATGAGAGGAGAGGAGCGGAGAGGGGAGGGGAGGGGAGGGGAGGGGAGAGGAGGGGAGGGGAGAGGAGAGGAGAGAAAAAACACACAAAAAATACACTAATTCCTGGGAAGGAGGATCCTTTAAGGCAGGCCCCTCCTACCCCGGAAACTTGGGAGTAGACCCCGCCCTAGCCCCGCCCCACGGAGCGACAGTCACGTGGCCCGGCTGCAGCTGGCGATGGCGGCCCCCATGGACCGGAGCCTCGGCAGCCTGGCTGCCCGGGCGCTGCGGCGGGTGCTGGCGCTGGCCTCGCTGGCCGGGCTGTTGCTGAGCGGCCCGGCGGGCGCCCTCCCCACCCTGCGGAAGGGCTGGCAGCGCCCAAACCCCGACCCGCCCGTCTCCCGCATCCGCTCTGTGTTGCTGGACGCCGCTTCGGGCCAGCTGCGCCTGGAGGACGGCCTTCACCCTGATGCGGTAGCCTGGGCCAACCTCACCAACGCCATCCGCGAGACCGGGTAAGGTTTGACCGTCCCCGCCAGCAGCGGCGGGTAACAGGGCCCTGGACTGCCGCCCTGCCGACCTGGGGAGTCCACAGCCGGTTCAGGTCTTTTTCTCCCTCCAGAGCCAGGTCAGAAGGTAGTTAACTCCCATCCCTAACCTCAGGGCTCCTCCCTGAGGGACCGGGGACCAGGCCTTTGTCCCCATGGGCCCCGCACTTAAGGCGAGCTGCCCTAGAACTCTCTTGTTTGTAAAGCAGGCTGGCCGGGAACTCACACGCAGGTCTGTACCTGTGTGCCTCTGCCTCCGGAGTGAGTGTTGGGCCACCAGACCAAGGCTCTACTGCCCTTTTGTCCCCGGCCTGAGGGATAGTGCCAATTCCCCAGGATCCCAGGCCTTTTTCTCCTTCCAGAGCCAGGGCAGCAGGTGTGCGCCTGGCTCCAAGCCAAAGGAAAAGTTGAAGGTCCCTAAATTCACACGCATAGGCAGTATGCTTGTTAGGTGTTGCTGCTGTTCATTCGGGGACTAGTTTATGGCCCAGTGCTACAGAGCTAGCTTAGCTGCTCCGTGTTATCACTGGCACTCTTGGAACACAGGCTGGCCCTCGCATCTGTTGTCTCTCCCAGTGTGGGCCCAGAAATTGAAAGTGGGTTCTTGTGAGGTGTCTGGATCAGGAGTAACCACTTGTGCTCAGTCATTCTTATCGTGGTGTTTGGCCTCAAGGACCCAAAGCCAAGCAAGATTTGGGCTGAGAGAGGCACAGGCAAGACCCACAGGAGGCCAGAGCCAACAGTCTGCTTGTAAACCCAGATTCAGGCTGTGCTGGGCGTGGGGGAGGCTGCATGTCCCCACTGGTCCTTGATGTACTCATTCTCAGAGGACACAGCTTCCTGCAGTATGGGCTTTACAGGTTTGGGGGATGGGGCACAAGATGCTAAAGACATCTCCAGTGTTGGTGGCCCTTGGAAGGTTGCTGCAGAGGTGGGGCCAGTCTGGGAAGGCTCCCAGGGAGAGAAGGCCGCTGACTTGGCTCCTCTCTTTGAAGGGAACCACAGCTCTGGCTGGCATCGGGGGCAGCCCCCTGTGACTTGATCTGGTGGCCTGTCCTCTGCCGACTCACGTAGTTTGGCTCTTGTGTAGCAGAGTCAAGAGGGCATGAGGAACCCCAAGCATGGATGCAGAGGCACAGGAGGGAGGCATGTGCGGGGAGGGGATTTGGGACACAGGAGGGCATAGATGGGCTGGGAACATTTACAACTACTGGACTCATGATAGTGGGAGAACAACTTGAGGTATCATGTCTTTTACCACCAGTTAGTCCCGGGGACCAAACTCAGGTCATTAGGCTTGGTGGCAAACGTCTTTACCTACTAAGCCATCTTGCTGGCACATGAGTCTGACTTTGGACCAGCATCCAACACAGCCCTGAGACTATTAAAATTTGGTATGTAGGGGGTGGAGATGTCCCGTTGCATAGCCTGTGCCAGCCTGGTTATGGCCACCACCCTGGGAGAGTTAGGCCTCTGATTCCCTTCTTCTCAACTGGATTCCACCAACCAGAAAGCTCTCTGCTTGGAGCCAGTCACCATGAGGTAGAGTGGAACAGAGGGAGGGAGGGCAAGTTAGGAAAGCAGGCAGAATCTTGGATCCACTGTAGCTGGGGAAATGGGTCAGTAAGGCTGAGTTTCCTTTGAAGAGTGGTTAAAGAGAAACCCATAGTGTGTAGGGAGTCGATCAAAGGTCGTGACAGGAGAGAGTGGCCTCAGGAGACTTGAGACCCCTGCTGACCTCTCAGCAAGAGCTCGTCTCGTCCATCTGTTCTCCCCTCTCCCTAACACACACACACACACACACACACACACACACACACACACACACACA